ATCCTGCCGGGCCAGGCATCTCCCCTGCAGGGCAGTGGAGGCCAAACAGCAGCATCAGGGTCTCCTTCCCATGGACTGTTCCTCCGACCGAGCCAGGCTTCGAGGCAGCTGGTCTCCCTCACAAAACCCTCTTTTGCATTGACAGCGCTTCTGCACCTTGCCACAAGTCGAGTAAGTTGTATGGGAAGGGGCCGGTCCTCAGCTGGGCACTCGGGCTCTCCGCTGTGGTCCTCCCTCGCTCCCGCTGGGAAGGCACCTGAGATTAAAGCAGCGCCAAAGGCTATGGAGCTGCATACAGCGGTGGCTGAGGATTGCTTGTGCTGCGCCTGCCTCTCCATGTATTTGATCTCTCGACTTCCAGCGGGGACTGAATTCCTGTGCTGGATTCTGGGCTCGGCTCTTGTGAAAGGATCCAATTATTTTAGAGCTTTGAGCATCTCCATTTGCTGCCCATATTTGCGGCGCGCTGGCTGGAATTCCAAGTGATTAACGTGGCTGTGACATCCCTCCTAGGGGTGTTATCTTTGCTCGCTGTCCCCCACCGCCCCCCTCTTCCTCCTCCGGCAGCGAGCGGGCGAGACAGGCAGGCAGAGACAAAGGTCTGTCCTCAACCTGGGCTGTCCTCCCCGTAAGCGGCTGCTGCATGGGATTTCCCTGCCTTGCCTGCTGCAGGTTTCCTGGGTTCCCGGTCAAACACTGGAGCTGGGCGGCCGTGGGCTGTATCACAGAGGTTTGAACCTGCTGGGCTGGGTGGGCAGGGGGTGCTGCCGGCCTTGGAGAGCTGCCCGATTGTCCTGCCGGATTTTAAGCTGCTTTTCATTCTTTGACTGTGCTTTCCTGGGAAGAGGGGCAGCCGTGCGTGGAGGGGAGGTTGGCAGGGAGGGGGTTGGACGTGGAGGAAAGCTTTACACAGGTGGCTGTCGCATAGTGGAATCTGCCTGCAGACCCTGTAAACCCCCCCTTCCCAGCCGCAGGCTATTGTCAGCATCACCATGTGCAAGCCAGGCACCTGGGAAAGGTGTGCGGAGGTGATCTGTGCCAGGACGAGGGGCATCAGAGGGAAGGGGTAAGTCCTGGGCTGGGAGCTCTGCTCCAGCTCCCCCAGCTCCCAGGAGGGGTTTCATTGTGTTATCCTGACTTGGCCGAGCAGAAGGGCTCAGTCCCTGCGGCACCTGAGTGTGGTGCTAGGGCTGGGGAGGCACTGCATGTTGCTGGGCAGACCTCAGCCCTTCAGGAGGCTGCTGCAGCTTGGAACCCCAGCACGATGTACTGCAAAGAGGGCTGCTCTATCCCTGGGGGCTTCTGCACCCTGTCAGTGCCACCTCCCAAGGGATGGGAGGGAGCAGCAGCACAGACACGGTGCTGTGGGCACAGAGAGGTGTTGGGTCTCTGTCTCTGTAAAAGCTGTGTCTGGTGGTTTCTAGGAGCTTGCACTTGTGACATGGGCAATACCTCTTGCCCCATCCTTCCTCTCCGGGCGCAGGCTTTCTCTCCATTCCTGGCAGGGGCTAGCACTGAAGGAGGCTCTGCAGCTGCACAAATCTGGCATGGCAGGAGGCCTCCTGAGGACCCTCAAGAGCAGCACTTGCCCTTGCATTGGGACAAGGAAGCTCCCTCAATCTGTATCCATTCCCCCTCCCTCTCATTCTTCCTCTCGTTTCCACCAAGTGCCAGCTTCTTCCTCCCCAGCCTGAATTCCAGGATAGTACCACAGCCATGGCCAGTGGTCATTTTTCCCTTCAGGCACAGTTTGCTCCTCTAGCATCTCCTGAGTCAGCTTCTTCCTGGGATTGCCGCCTCTGCTACAGTGCTGGAGGTAGTCCGCAGCCTCATGTCTGTCTCTCCTGATGGTGATATGCCTGATCTGTCAGACTGTGCAGGAACCCTTCTCTGGTGGCAGCATTGCTGTTAGTGCTGCCATCCTTCAGGGTTGTGATGGAAACTTTCTGCCTGCTGGCACTTCACAAGCTCTGCTCTTAGCCTGTGCCAGGGAGCTCCTGGGTTTGTGCTCACGCTGCTTAGATTTCGTTCCTTCTCCTTGGGCCCAGATAGGATCAATAGAGTTATGATTTATCCTCCAGACAGTCTGTTTACAGCAGTTTCTGTTGCCTCTTCTCTTCCCTTGTACTCTGCTTGTTCTGAAGATGATTATGACGGCCCTTCTCCTTCCTGGATGTGTGGTTTCTGCTTCACCCTCAATGAGGCCACCAGTGTCTCTCCATAGCAATTCCCACAAGAGGAAGCAGGAGAGAAGACAGCAAAAGCCACTTAGGCATTGGTTTGGTGTGGTTTTTTTTTTTGTTTTTTTTTTTTTTTTTTTGGTCTAAATTCTGCAAAGACCTCTCTTGGTCATGCCAGCCACCAGGTTGGTGCTCTGTCCCAGGCAGCAGTGCCCAGGTCAAGTCTTCTTGCCCACTGGCCATATGTTCCTTTTGACTGGCTGGCAGTGCTACTCTGGGAAGTCTCTGGGATTTCCCCTGGATGAGTGTGGCAACTTCAGGCACAGTTCTTGCTCTCTTCCTTGCACTGGTGCTGTGCTACCAGCCCTGCCAGGCTCCCAAGGGCTCTGCCTTATGACAGACAACCTCTCTGCCCCACACTCATCCTGCTTCCTCTCTGGCTGGCACAGTACAGCTTGAACAGCAACAGACCCTTTTGCAGGCTGCAGCCTGGCATGTGGTACTGCTGCTGCATTGCCCAGCCAGGAACCTATCCTCTCTCGCCATCCTGCTTTGTTGCCTCCAGACTAAGACCATGGTCTGTTAATCCTGGTTTCCCCCTGGATGTGCTAATAGGAATGGAACCAGCAGGTAAGCCAAGTGCCTGACCCAACCCCACCAGGCCTGGCTGTGTTATTCCACATCAGGCTCTGGTGGCTCGGTGTCTCCAATGAACACAGCATTTCTGCCCCAGTGCATGGGACACGCTCCCTCTCTGCAGGTCATTTGGCACTGGGTATTTCTTGGCTGTTGAAGCATGGTGCCCTCCCCAGGCAAAGAAATAGAGGAAGGCTGTGCCTAGCATAACTCCAGATCCAGGTGCTGGGAGATCTTGGCAAAAGCACAGGGCCCTGCCTGTTCTCTGAACAATGAGGGGGCCTTGGCAGGAGCAGGGCAGACAGTGGAAGAGCTCTGGGTGGGCTTCTCTAAGAGACAAAGCTCTCTGAGTCCTATTTTAGAGCACCAGCACGAACTGAAACACTGTCAATAAAAAAAATCAGCATCATGTGGGCTTAGGAGGGACCAAACACTTGATGTGGGCACAAGGAGCCCCATGTGCTGTGTCCAGAGGGATGGGACCTGTGCTGCTCAGCTGAGCTGATGAAGCCCTGGGCCTGCCTCTGTCCCATCCATGTGGCCAGAATTAGAGCTCTGGCAATGCCTGGCTCAAGGACAGGAGAAGGCAGAGGTGACCAGGTGCTTTCTTCCTGTGCCTGCTTGGAGTGCAAGAGGCCATGGTCCCAGGGTTGCTGTTGTGTTCTGTGGGGAGGTGGTGGGCTCCCGTGGTGCTCTCAGAGGCTGAGCTCTACTGTGAGCTGGATTGGCTCTCAGCAGGGAGGAACTGTCCTGGGAGGCACTTGGCACTGCCAAGAGAACCTCCCTGGGATACAGCCCCTTGCATCTTGAGAAGGGTGAGAAGCAGAGCTATGCCCCAGCTGCTGCCCATCCCAGGCTGTTGGGCATTCCACCTGGAGGATGTTCAAGGAGATCTTAGGGTTACTTGGAGACACTTTGGGTGATACTTTCCTGTCCCTGGTGTGGAGCCGGCATTTTCCAGCACAATGTTTCAAACAACAGTATCTGGTCTTGGCAAAAGGTGGTGCAGCTCTTGTTCTAGTGGCTGGTATTGGCAGCACCTGATGGCTGGTGTTGAGATCTCAGCTAGGAGGGATTTGTGGTGCTAGCAGGTCAGCCTGTCCTTATACATCCATTCTCCTGAAAGGCAGCTGTTACCAGGGAGAAAATGGCTGTGACTTCAGTGGAACACAGGGAAGAGAATGAAACAACGCAGGTGAAACTGTGTATTTGTTCTGGCATGGACACACTCTTTCGTCCAGTGCACCAGGCTGATTCTTGCTGTTGGTTGCTGAGTTTGCTTCCCATTGGTTGATAGTGCCACACAAGTCATGGTACAAATATCCCCCAGGGACGGAGGAGGGACACAGGTAGGAAGAGCACAGCATGTTACCACTTCAGCATCTGCCCACAACTGAGGGCATTCACTTGCTTTCCTACCTGCTTTGGTGCAGGCCTCATGGGGTGCCAGGAGGATCTGCTCTTTACAAAAAGCTTTTATTGAGGATTTAGACCCATGGTTTGTCATGCTGCAGCACTGATTTGCCCTGCTGCAAGTGCTCCTTGGGTGCAGTTGTATTGAATCTCAATAGGTCCTGTTCTGGCTGGTTGCTGGCAGTACCCTTCCCCAGCAGTGGTGGTGGCTTTTGAGCTGTCCAGCTCTCAGAGACTGGTCATGACAACCTGTAGTTACAAATCTTATTGGAAATGTAGTGAAAGAACAGACTGTTTTCTGGGGCAGGTGAGGTCAGGCAGTAAGCACAGCTGATACTGGCTTCCCATATGCAAGTTGCAGGGATGCAGAATTTGCCAGACCAGGATGCCAGAAGGGGATTGCACTTGAGTGTTGTTACCTGTGAACATCCATTTGGAGTTTTTGTTCATCTGCCTGGCCGTGCTGTTTCCAGCCTTCAGAGCAGTACTCACTGCTGGCTTAGGGTGCCCAGACAGCGACTTTCTGCTGGATGGGTGCTGCAGTGAGTCCCCATTTGAGGGATGCATGAGGAGGGAGGTGGGGAGGGCATGATCCCTAAGCATAGGCACGATTTCCTTCTTTAGCTGGAGGCGCCTGCAATAGTGAAGCCCATGAGCTGCCTCTGCCACAGAGGTGCTGAGGGTAGAGGTGCCCAAGGGCTCCTGCACACTCTGAAGCTGTTGCACCATGAGCTCCTGCTTCAGCTGACTCTTCTCCACACCCTCTTCCAGGCATCAAAGCTGCAGTGCCTGTGGATTATGACCACAGGGGAGCTGTGTTGCATCTGTAAATCTCTGTTGTGCATCAAGGGCACATCTGAACAGGTGAGAGCTCTGCACATGAAAGGATTGCTGTCTTTGTGCTGGGAAAGACTGGTGGGGGGCCATTACAGCTCAGGGCTATTGGGCTCCTCATTTCTGCCTTCCCTGACAGGCATCTCATATTGGAAGAAAACAATTCGAAGCTCTTCTCCTTATCTGTAGGGCCAGAAAGTGCCCTGTGCTATGGGTGGAAGGGGGAGGAGGTAAACATGAGACCAGGAACTAACTGGAGGCCCAGAGGTTGCTGCAGTGTCTTGGAAAGGAAAGCATGAAATGGTCGCCAGAAAGAAAGAGGAATCTGTTCCTATGCACAGGGTTTCATACAGGAAGGCATACAAAAGGGATGTAAAATGAAGCCAGGTATGAGAGTTCACAGCCTAGCTTAAAATATTTGTGGTTTAAATGGAAATCAAGGTGTTAACACTGCCTGAGGTGGCTGAGATGTATGTGGCCTTTGATTTGGGAGGCTCAGAAAGGCTGAACCTAAATGCTGCCTTCCTTGCCTGCATGACCCTGCAGACAGGAAGCACCCTCCTGCCCTTCTCCCAGGAAGCATCTGAATCATCCCAGCCCTGCATCTCCCCCTTTCCTTCCCCTCAGAGCCACTGTGGACACTGAAGAGCTGGAGAGGACATTGCAGAGGTTTGGAGGCACACCGTGATGGTGGGAGCCATTCCACGGCAGCCACGCCGCTTCTGGGGGGTGCCTGACTGGCAGGCGTCTTCAGCTAGTTGTGCCAACGACCGCCTGCTGCGGGGCAGGGAGGTTAATCCAGAGACAAGCAGGGGTAAGTAAGTGTGGGGAGCAGCCAGGAAGGGCTGCACTGTTGTGGGCTACACAGAGGGGTTGGGGTTGACAGGCACATCTGGAGGTTATCTGGACCAGCCCCACCTAGAGCCAGTGCCCAGGACTTTGTCCTCATGACTTCTGGATATCTCCAAGGATGAAGATTCCGCAACCTCTCTAGGTAACTGGTTATAGTGCTTGGTCACGGTAAAACAAAATAATGTTTTCTGATATTCAGAGGGAACCCCTCATCTAGATATCTAGATGAGATCTCACTGAGCCGTCTGTTCTCCAGGCTGAACAGTCCCAGCTCTCATAGGACAGATGCTATATTCTCTTAATTTTTTTTTAGTGTCCCTGTTTTGCGTTCTCTCAGATGTGGCCTCACCAGTGCTGAGCAGAGAGGGAGGATCAGTTTGATTAACCTGCTGTAACCTGCTGTTAATCCTGAGCCTGGTGCACTATTGTTTTTCTTTCCTGCAAAGGTGCATTGCTGGCTCATAGTCAACATGGCACCCACCAGGACCCCCAAGGCCTTTTCTATTGTGCTGATTTCCATCCAGTCAGTCCCTAACATATCCTGGTGCATGGTTATACTTTTTGTCACCCCTTTTAAACAGACTCCCTGGTCTCAAGCACCTTGGCCTGCCATTTTCACATTCACATCCCAGCAGGGTCAAAATAGCATATGCAGGCTCACTCTCCACATTGCCTTGATCCACTTGGAGAACAAATTTCCCTATTGCTCCCTTGCCCTTAAGCCTTTGCTCCACAAGATCAGGCACAGCTATAAGGACAGGCAAAAGGCAGAGCTGCCAGGCATGGGCAGTTTGTCCTCAGTCTGCTGGTGACTTTTCCTGCATCTCCTCAGCTCTTGCAGCCATTTCAATATTTTTCATTCCTGAAACAAACCAACATGTGGACAGGATTCTCACATTGCTCTCAAATCAAATTGGACTGAAAAATCAAAGGTGAGGCACCATGCTGCACAGAGAAGGGTAGGCCTTGGAGCTGGCAGGAGTGGATGGATAGTGGCCTTGGTACCTCCCAGCTGCTGAATGAGGTGCTGGAGATGCCTGGTCCAAGTTGGCAGAGGTAACAGGGATGTTAGGCCGTGGGGCTGGCACCAGCTCTGCCTCATTCAGTGCACGTGGCCAGGGCAGGATGTCTTGGCCAGCACTGGGAGATGTTGCTGCTGTTGCCCAAAGGGGTGATTACACGCCTGAGCCCCTGGGACTGGTCTGACCTGCCTGACTCCTGTGTTCCACAACAGCACAAGCATGTCCTGGCAGAGGGCACGCCTCTTCCTCCCCACTTGTCCAGACTTGTCCACAGGTGTCTCCTGCCTGTCTGGAGACTTCTCTCCTTGACCAGGAAGGGCATGCTGAACCTGCTTTTGGGTGATGCCTCAGGGCTTCCCAGAAGGGCACATCAGCCTCATTCCTCTTCCTGTCCCTGGAGAGGTAGATTCAAGTGGGCTGTGTGAGGAGCCATGTGCCAGTGGATCCCTTGCAGCCAGAAGCCTAGATGAGGTTGGAGGTCCAAGGCTGTTACTCATCCTTCTCTCTTTTTTTCCAGATGCTGTGCTGCAGACCACCTCATAGTAGAGGGCTCAGAGATTCTGAGTGAGAGGGGGCCCAGCTCCCACCCCCTGCCCTTTCACCCTGACCTGTGGCACTTTACAATCGCCCTCCTGCTGCTGCATGGGCTCCACTCGGAGTCCTAGCAAGTGAGGCTCCATGCGGCACATCCACACAGAGACGTCTCTGCCCCCGGAGCACAGCACAGACCCCAGCCTGGCCCGGCCCAGGGGGGAGACACCCTTGGAGCCTTCCTCGCAGTGCTGCACCCACCGCAGCATCCTCATGGGCTACAATGAGACAGAGATCAAGCGCCAGAAGGTTTACCAGGTGTCCATCTTCTCCCATCTCCCCAGCTCCTCTGAGAGCACAGAGCAGCGGGCAGGCACCCGGCCAGCTGTCAAGAGGGGATACCCCGAGCAGCGAACTCCGGAGGGGGGTCGAGATCCCAAACGAACTCACTGGGGTGACAGGGGGGTGGATGGGGGCCCTGGGCAGCCTTCCCTGGATGATGATGATACCTTTGAGGATGGTCTGCTTGTGGAGGAGCTCTCCCTTTGCGGCTCTGCCCAGCACTTCTCCCACAGTGGGCTGCGGGTGGTGGAGCACCGCTGTGAGGGCAGCCCTAGCCACAGCCCCAAGGCCAGCAGAGAGGACAAGTCACAGGATGTCTCCTTCTCCTCCTCCTCCTCTTCCTCTCCCTCCTCCTCCTGGCCCCAGCACATTGCTTGCAGTACTTTGCACATGAGAGACAGTTGCCCTGTCTCATCAGGGGATCAGCCCATAGACTATGGAGAGAATGGGGAGCCAGCAAGTGGCCACAATGTACTTCACCTTGAATTGCACAGTATTGCACAAACAACCCAGTTGGACCCTGGTGGGAAGAGAGAGAAGCCAGGGAGCAGCCCAGCTCACACCAGCACGGCTAGCGGGGAAGCGGAAGGGCCAGCAGTGGCCAATGGGTGCAGGGAGTCCCCAGTTCCGCTGACAGTGCTCAGCCCTGAGCCCAGCAACCTGAGCTCCCAGGAGATGACACCCTGTGGGAGCAGCCAGCTCAGTGGCACCTGCCCAGCCAAAAGGAAGTTGCTGCCTGCTGGCGAGGTTATGGCTGACTCCTGCTCTGAGGATGAGAGCCAGTCCCCACCAGCAAGGAAGAAGAGGGTCCTGCCATGCCATCCTGTGCCCACAGCCTGCCGCAGCACTGATGCCAAGGGAGCTCCATTCTGGAATCACCTGCTTCCTGCAGCCAAGGTGAGCATTGCTCATATGGGGAAGGAGGGAATGGCCTGGGGATGCCCAGAGCTCAGGACTGCGCTTGTGGGCAGTGTGGTCCAGTGTGGCACCACACCCTGTCCTGTCCGTTGCAGTACTGGTGCGAGCAAGGCAGCAGCTGGCAGTCAGCCCTGACACACATGGTCTGTTTTAACCAGCTCTTGACATCCTGTAGTCACTGCATGCAACTGGCTTCTTCTCCTGGAGAGCCTTGATTGGACAGGAGACAACCTCCCCATGGCAGTGAGAACTGGACATGTCATGAAGCCACTTTTGGTGTCTGATGGCTTTATGTTAAGCTATGATGTACCAGCAAGCTTGGGAAGAAGGCTGGCCTCTGCCTGCCTGAAGAAGGAAGGCAGATGCATGGGATGGCTTCAACTGGCCATGATGCCCATTAGAGCAAGTGTCTGGTAGCAGGCAGTGCGAGTGGACATGCTTTGACCAAGGAGCCCAGTGCTGTGTGCCAAGATGACACTGGCTTTTCTGCCATTTTGAGGTGCCTGTGGCATGTCCCCAAGGTGTCACAAACTCTCAGCAATGGAGCAGACCTGTGAGGTTTGCAGCCCTCCCTAGCAGCTCAGGAGCTGCCTCTGATTCCTCCTTTGTTACCCTGCCCTTCTTATCAGCCCCCTGCCTGCCAGCTGAGACTGCAGCAGGTTCAGGCCAGACCTGGCACCTTCTTCTTTTCATCTGGGGCATTCCATGGTGTGGGGACCCACAAGAACTGATGTCAGAGCTACCCTGGCTTCTTGCTGCTTGGGGCTGGGACACACCATCCATGGCACACAGCTCCATCACTGCCTGCCTTTTTCATGATTGTCCCCCAGCCCAGCTGCCCCCAGCACTGTCCTTGCAGAGTGAAGCCCTCCAGCACCTTCCCTGGGTTTTCCCACCCGGTCATGCCAGCCCGCTCCATCATCCCTTTATGTTGTGCTACCCTTTGTGTGGCTTCCAGAAGGGAAAGCCCTTGAAAAAGGGACATCTTTAAAAGGAGGCTGCAGTGTGACTGTGGCTTTAACCACCCCTCCCCTCCCCACAGCTGTAGAACCCTAGCTGTGGGTAGGGGTGGGCAACAGACCCCTCTGCCTGGTGGCACTGCTGAGGACTTTGCATGAATCACCAGGGGACAGAACTTTTCCAAGGCTGGTCAAGGAGTGTCCTTGTAGGTGTCACCAGTCCCTGGGAGGTGCAAGGTGGTGTCATTGCATGGCTCTGTCTACAGGTGCCTTGTCACTGGGGCTGCTCCTGAGACCTGTTTTGTAAAGAGGGAACAGTGTGTACCCTTGGGTACCAATACCCTCATTCCCAGCTGAGCCACTTCAAGGTTTGGGCAGCCCCATGTCCCCACCAGACACTCCAGTCCTTGTGCTGCCCTTCTAGCCTTTCAGAGGACACTGATGGCTTCCCAAGGACAGGAGCCTATCCCATCTGCTGGGGCCCTCATGGGAATATGGGGCAGGGCAATGGACAATGGCACCTCCCAGGGGTGCATGGGCTCTGGTTGCTGCCCTAACATGGTTCTCCATTTCATGTCCCCTCCAGAGCCCTTCAGATTGCACTGCGGTTGGGAGGAGGCTGAAGAGTGGGCTGCGTCTCAAATCGTGAGTATCCTGGCAGCCCTGTGGGATGGACATGGGGGCTCAGGGTGCCTGCCCACCTCAGTGACCTGCAGCCCCATGGGAGGTTCACGTTGGGCTGAGTCCTCTTCCCTGCCCTGGCCCAGGTATCTACCCTCCATAAGGCCACAGATTGGGGTGGGGGGTGATGTTTCTTCTTCCCCTGGGATAGAAGTGGGTTCACCCCTAGCAAAGGTACAGGGGACCTGGAGAGGGATCCACATTCCCAGCAACATGAACAACGCAGGGCTGTGTGCTCTTCAGTCCAACACCAGTCTTCTCTCCTCACTCCAAGGCGACATCTCCGGACCAGCCTCCGGAGGGGCACTAGGTCCCCCGCAGTGCCCTGGACCACCACCACTGTCAGCCATGCTCTGCTGGGCAATTTTGAGGTAACGGTGCTTGTCTGCTGCGGGGCGGTGGGTCCCAGGGGCTCCACACAGGGCTAGCAATGAGTGTGAGAGGCTGAACCTGATGGGAGCCCTGATGTGGGGCTCGGCTGGGCTGATTGTCCCCAAAAGGCCTGGCGTGCAGTTGCCACCACACAGACCCACTAGCAGCATGGCTCAGACAGAAGATCTTTGGGTAGAGCCTGCTGAGGTAGGTGCTGCGAGGCTGAGCCAAGGCACTCTCACTGCTTCTTCCTGTTAGATGGTTGGTGTAGTCCCAGCAGTCCAGGGTGGGTCTGTCTCAGAGTGAGGTCTCTGGGCACACGAGGGCAAGCAGCCAGCTGGGTGCAGTGAAGATGGGGATGACTTCACCTGGAGCATTGAGGCAGGGGATAGGCTGATGTTTGAGATTCCCTAATGCTTCCCTCCCTTTCAGGAGTCTATCCTGAAGGGGCGCTTTGCACCATCGGGGAGGATTGAGGGTTTCACGGCAGAGATCGGTGCCAGTGGCTCCTACTGTCCCCAGCATGTCACCCTGCCTGTTGTCGTCACCTACTTCGACATCTCTGAACACAACGCACCCTCGCCTTTCCTGGTACTTGGATGTGGGGCAGCTGGGGGGGCTGTACCCTGACACTGTGGGGGACCCGTCCCTGTTAGAGGGTGGCTCAAGCAACCACCTGCTTGTGGAGACGACTGCCTGTGCCAGGAGCGATCTTTAACCCAAAAAAAAAAAAAAAAAGGAAAGAAGAGGGAACATACACTGGCCTTCCTGCTTCATGGTCATCATTATCGTCACCTCTCTAGTCACCACCTCTCTGTTTCTGCTCCTTGTTTGGAGAGGGGCTGAGCTGGGGGTCTTCTTGTTGACTTGTGCCAAGTATTCCCAGCGAGGGAGTCTCAGGCCCATGCTGGTTCCCAGCTGGGCTTTTCTTCAGCTTTCTCCCTCTCTCACATGCTGTTTATTTTGCCCCAGGGAGTGATTGACTTGGAGGCCTTGGGAAAGAAGGGTTACAGTGTCCCCAAAGCTGGAACCATCCAAGTGGTGAGTCATTCCCTGGCCTGCAGTAGCACTGTGGGGATGGGGCTGCTTGGGCTCTGGCTGCCCTGCTTGGAGGGGGCGGTGTGCTCCATGACATTGTTAGGCAGGGCAGCAGCTGGAATGGGTGTCTCCTGCAGAGACGTTACGTGGCCACCAAGACAGCATAGCAGAGGGGAGCACAGGGTACCTAGGGTGCTGTCAGGGAGACAAGCTAATGGGAAAATCAGGGAAGGAAGATGTGGGTGAGGGTTTTGGCAGGAAACTGCATATGTGCAGTTGGAATGGGATGTGATGGAAGAGGGGCACAGGTGTGAAGGTGGGTGGAAAGGACCTGTGACACTCAGGCTAAGCCCTCTAGGATTTGTGTGGGGCTTTCTGGATCCTTGGTCCAGCAGCTCCTGCTTCCAGATGCCCCATCTCTGCCCTGCATCCTTCTCAGTCTCACCCTCTACCCCTCTGCCCCTAGACCTTATTTAACCCCAACAAGACTGTGGTGAAGATGTTCTTGGTGACGTACGACTTCCAGGACATGCCGGCCAACCACATGACCTTTCTACGCCATCGCATCTTCCTGGTGCCCGTGGGGGAGGAGGAGGGGTCCACAGTGGCTCCCAGTGACCCACTGGGCACCAGCCCACCCCGCAGGGTTCTCTGCTACCTGATGCATCTAAGGTAAAGCCTGCCAGGGGATGGGCACCTGTCCCAGCTCACCCCTGGGCTCCTCTCTGACATGTCCCAAGCCTGCAAGACAGGAGGGACTGGGGAGGAGCAGGGACCAGCTGCTCCTTTGGGGAGGTTGGAACTGCCACCCTACCCAAGGGCAGCTTTCTCTGTCCCTCTGAAGGCAGCCAGAGGGAGGCTACCTTGACCAGGGACCAAAGTAGTCAAGGGGGTTGTGTCCTCACTGAGGATGCCCCGCCCGGGGAGCCTGAGGTCCCTCTGCCCTGCTCGTTTCCACACAGGTTTCACAGCTCCAAGTCAGGGAAGATCTACCTTCATGACGACATTCGGCTGCTTTTCTCCCGCAAGTCGATTGAGGTGGATTCGGGGATCCCCTATGAACTGAAATCCTTCACAGAGATGCCGCGGAACCCCTGCTACTCACCCAGGGCCTGACCTTCTTCACTCCTGCCCCCAGAGCCACTGGGAAGCCTCCAGCCCAGCACTTTGGGGAGAGATGAGTAAAGGGCCAGCAAGCACTGTTTTGAGATATCACCCACCCTCCTGACCAGCACGGGCACCACGCTCTGCAGCAGGGCTGGGAACACCCAGGGGGCTTCACCAAGAGGGGCAGGGGCTTAGGAGCAGCCCTGGCACTCCAGGGACATGCCCAAGCCTTCTACTGGCACTGTTCCCAGCTTGGAGACTTGGCTGTGGCTGAGGTGGGTGGGCATGGAGTGAAGAGTTGGACTGGAGCTGTGAGTGAGACCATCCACACTGGTCTCGGGTCTGGGAGCAGGAAGTGTGGAAGAGTTTGTATTTATTAGTATTTATTGTTGCTGGGAGCGCAGAGGAGGCTTGTGCAGAGGATCAGAGGTGCTGTGCTTGTTCTTCCTCTCAGCCCTGCCTGCACCAGGCTGCCCGTGTTTGGGCAGGGCTGTGGGGACTGTGAGGATGACTAGGGACAGGGATGCCTCAGCCCATGGAAGGGAGAGTGACCCAGTGCTCACACAGGGTGCAGCTCTCAGGTAAGGGGTGTGTTAAAAGCCCAGTGACAGGCTAAGCCTTCCTGGCATCAGCTTTGCAGGGCCAGCCCAACTCCAAACAGCTTGGGGAGGCCTGCGCTCATCTTCGGAGTCTTTTAGGGTAAGCCAGAGCCCAATAGACCTATGGCTGTCAAGAAAGTGGCAACTGCCAGGTTCCTGAAGGTAAGAGACACAGCTGCCACGTGGATGGGGACCTGGAGCTCTTTGCAGGAATATGGGGATAGCCCTCTGGGCAAGAGCCTCCAGAGCACGTGAGCTGTGAATCTGAGATTGCCAAAAAAAAAAGGAACTTTGCACTGTCTGTGGATGTGGGGTGAATCCCATGCAGGAGGCAGCTTTGGGCAGGGACTGCCGGCAGGGTGATCAGAGGTTGGAGGATGGTCAGGAGCCCCTGATTAGAAAAACGGGGTAACGGGGAAGCAACAGAGGAAATCAAACTCTGGGAGCTGGGCTGGTTCATCAGGAGCAGGACTGGGAGAATCCAGACTGGGGCAGTCAGAAGGACAGGGCCAAGGATAAAACAAGCTTGCACATTCCCTGTCTATTCACCTCTCTGCCCTCTGAGGGTCTCAGCAAAGCTTCCCTGCCAGCACAGGTTGTGGAGATGGATCCTCAGCCCCTCTGTCAAAGAGAACAAGAGGGGGACAGGCCCAACCCCATCACTCCCACCACTGAGGCCGAGACCCCAGCATGGGGAGCTCCGTGTGGGGATAGACCAGGAGTGGGGGGTTTGGGGCGAGGTTGTGGTCTGCCTTGCTCGGGGGCAGTTGGGGGCTCCGGCCCTGCTGCACTCGCGTTGGGAAGCCTGAAAATGTCCATATACTCACACTGGGGGCCTGAACCCTCCAAACAGAGGTTTTGAACCCCCCAAACACCGGGGCCGCTCCCCCCAAACCGGGGCCCTGAATCCCGCAGGCTGTGGGTCTGAACCCCCCAAACCGGGGCCCTGAATCCCGCAGGCTGTGGGTCTGAACCCCCCAGCACCGGGGCCACTCCCCAGCTGCCCTGGCCAGCGGCTCCCGGGGGCCGCCGTGACGCCAGAGTCCCCCTCGCCCCCAGGTCACCGGGGTTGCCCCTCTCGCCGTGGCCCTGCGGGATTGCGAGGGCCGTGCCGGTACTTTTCGTGTTCGTTTCTAATTTAATAAACGTCCGTTTGGAGCGCCTGAAAGAGACCGCAGCTGCCGCGCTCCGAAGGGGGTGGTGCGGAACCGCGGGCGGGCGGAACCAGCGGTCGCGGTCGGAGGAGACGGAGGGGCCGAAGCGGGCGGCGCAGGCGGAAGCGGCGCGGCGCAGGGGGTTTCCGGGAGCGCGGAGCGGGGCCCGAGCGGGGCGGGCGGAGGCGGCGATGCTGTCGCGGGCGGGGATCCGGGCCCGGCCCTGCCTCGGGCTGCTGCAGGTGCGGGGAGTGAGGGCGGGTGGGCCGGGAACGGGGAGAAGTCCCCGTTCGGGGGGTGCCCACGTGGGGAAGGTCCGGGTAGCGGAAGCTGGAGGGGCCAGGAGAAGGAATCTGGACTGGGGGCACGCAGATGAGGGGGTTGGTGTTGGGGGTCTGGGACGTGTTGGAAGGGAATGGGGCAGGGATGGGGTAAAGCGGTGTCGGGGCACACAGAGGACCGACGGGCAGGGGGGTCGGAGGTGAGGTTTGGTGTGCGGTGGTTTCGCGGGTCGGAGAAAGAGGCGAGGGGGAGTTGTGCAGGGGCTGGAGCTGCGGGGTTATGGGCGGCTGCGGACAAATGGGTACCGGGGGATTGAGGAGATACCGCCGATCTGTGGTATTGGGGCTCCGGGAAAGTGCTGGGGTGGTGATGAGGAGCTGGGCAGGAATAGGGCTGTGTGGGCACGGCGGGGTAAAAAAGATAAAGGGGTACGGGGGGACGGAGAGAGAGTTGGTGGGAGCTCGATGTCGGTGTTTGGGGTCCGGTGAAGGGCTGGCGGTGTTGAGGCTCGGTGTGGGAAAGCTGGGCAGTGCCGGGGGAAGGGGTGCGGTGCGGTGTGCAGTGGACAGACGGGAATGGGGATTGAGCAGGGGCAGTGGGGTAGTGCGGGGGGTCTGGGGAGAGCCGGGCAGGGACAGAGGTGAACAGCGAGGCGATGAGGTAGAGAACAGACAGGTATAGAGAGGCTGAAGAGGGTGGTTGGTGGTGGGGACGGGGGTGGGGCGGGGGGGAAGTGTTTGGGGCTGGGAAGAGCTCTGGTGCGGGCAGGGGAATGGACAGGGATAGAGAGTATGGAGAGAGAGGGTTGTGGTGCAGAGGACAGATGAGTGAGGAGGTAACTGAGGAGGTGGGGGTTCGGTGGGGTGGTAGTGCTGAGGGTTTGAGGGACACCGTGCATGGGCAGGAGCTGGGCAGAGAAGGAGGTGTGAGGAGGAGGGGTGCAGAGGACAAGTGGCAGTATGAAGGGGACTGAGAGGGGTCTTTGGAGGGGGTTTTGGGGATCTGTGGAAGTGCTGGGATGGTGGTGGTGAGCTGGGCAGGGATTGGGGTACAGAGAAGCATTGCAAAGGAAGCTGCGGGTGAATGGGTGTGAGGAGGGCCAGTGGGGGGTGGCTGAACATGGGGAGTGGTGAGGTGCGGCTGGGTTGTTGTAGGAGAAATGGATGTGTGGGGCTGTGGAGGTGTGAGCTGGGTTGGGAGTGGGGAGAGGTTGAGAGAAGCTGTGTGAGACCTTCCGTCTTTGGAGAGGAGAGTGAGGGAATGCCTGGACAAAACAGCTTTTTCTGAGAAGCCCTGGAGGCAGCCAGAACTGGGGAGGGACAGGTTGTTGGAAAGAGGTGGCCTGGGACTGAGGTGCGGGAGTGGGCCTGAATGGGTTATGGGGGCTGAGTGGAGCAGAAGAGACCTCTGTGCACACACCTTCATTGCCCTTATGGTGGCAGGGAGGCTTTATTCCCTGCTTCAGGGTGGATGTGAGAGAAGTGGAGATGTGCAGAAAGCTCTGGCATGGGAGTGAGCCCCCCTGCACCAGTGGAGGAGACTGTCCCTGGCACACAGGTCACATTCCTGTGGGAACACCCTTACAGCATGGGCTTGTTAGGGGCATTGTTTCCTGCCTGTTTCCTGCCCTGGTCTCCTGGTCATGAGCCCAGATGGGATAACAGGTGTGGAGCTGGCTCTGAGGTGCCAGCAGCTGATCTCAACCCTGCTCCATCTCCTTCCCCTAGCACTCCCAGCAGCTGAAGTGTGCAGCACGGCTGGCCCCAGCTCCGTGCCGCTGGAACTCCGGGCTGCCCATGAACATCGGGGTGCTCTTTGTGCCGCAGCAGGAGGCCTGGGTGGTGGAGAGGATGGGCAAGTTCCACCGAATTCTTGAGCCTGTAAGGAGCAGCTTTTCTCCCCTTCTGGATTCAGCAGGTTCCTAAAGCTGTAGCGAGGCGAGTCCTTTGCACGAGGATCCAAGAGGGGTGGTGGGCTTCGTTTCCCAGGCTGAAATCCTTTTGGCTGCCTGTGGACTAATTTTCCTTGGTGGGGCGTTAAAAGCACTGAGTAACTGGAATTCCTTGTGTGTAAAACATGTTTGCAGTATGTGGCATGGGCTTTTTTTTGCGTGACTCTATCTAGTGCATCAGCCATCTAATCCCACCCTTTTCCCAGGGTTTGAACTTCCTCATCCCTCTCCTGGATCGGATTCGTTACGTTCAGAGTCTCAAAGAAATCGTCATTAATGTCCCAGAGCAGTCAGCTGTCACACTGGGTGAGGAACAGCTTCCATGTCCTTCCCCTTTCCTTCTGCTGCATCTGGGGTGAGCAAGGGACAATGTGAGGATGAGTGGAATTGTCCCAAGCTCTTGCACTCAGCCCTGTCCCTTGGTACCCAGTCTTGGCCATAAAATCACTGAATGATTTGGGTTAGAAAGGGCCTTAAAGTTGGTCTCATTCCAGCCCCCCTACCATGGATAGGGGACACATTCCACTCGGCTGGGTGCTCAAAGCCCTGTCCAGCCTGGCCGTGAATGCTTCCAGGGATTGGGCATCCACAACTTCTTTGGGCAGCTTACTTCAGTGCATCACCACTCTCACAGCAAAGAACTTCTTCCTAGTATCTAAGCCTGCCCTCCATCAGCTCAATGCCATTCCCCCTTGTCCTATCCCTCCATGTCCATGTGAAAAGTCCCTCTCCAGCTCTCTTTAGGTACTGGAAGGCTGTTGGTGTAAGGTAGGGGCAGCCCAGGAAGTTCCATCTGCTCTCTCTGTGCTGCAACTGCCCCTTCTTGCTGAGTTGACTGCACCTGACCAGAAATATTTTTTTCAGGTGTTTTCCTTTTTTGAACCACAAAAGAAATTCCTGTTTCTGTTAAAAACATTTTAGAATAGGTTAATGAATGTGATGTTAATGAACAGCCCTGTTAGATTTCCAGTTTTAAGTGGTTTGTTTTGGTTTTTTTCCTCCTTAAATCTTTATTTACAAGGCCTACAGTGTGAAATGCTTCTATTGGGAAAATCAAGACCTGTTGTACATTCAAACATCATAGTGTTGTCCAGGGAACGTAAGATCCTTTTTACAAAGCCTTTAGATAAGAAGATCTATTTCAGCCAATCCTCTTCTGCGTCATGCTGATATGTCAGGGTGAAAAAGGATGAGCTTGCCCAGCTGTGCTGTGGAAGAAGGGGTTTCTATGTTTTGTTTGTGCTGGTTCAGTAAACAGGCTCTGCTGTTCTCTCCTGACAGATAACGTCACCCTGCAGATCGATGGTGTGCTCTACTTGCGGGTTATGGACCCCTACAAGGTACCATCCCTGCCCCTTGCCCACTCCCTGCTCAGAATGTGTACTCCAGCCTCTGTGTTCTGCCTGGCGGGTGGGCTGGGCACTCTGACTCATCCCAAGGCTCCAGACTCCATGTTTTCAGCAGGGATGTCTGGCAGATTTCTTGCTGCAGTGCTGTTTGTCTTTCCTGCCTTGTACAGGGTCCCTCTTGGCATCCCTATCCACTCTGTTTTGTGCTTCTGCTCTTCAGGCCAGCTATGGGGTGGAAGATCCTGAGTACGCAGTGACCCAGCTGGCCCAGACTACCATGAGATCTGAACTTGGCAAACTTTCCCTTGACAGAGTCTTCCGGGTGAGCTGGGGAGGTGGATCACAGAGCTGACAGTGTCTCCCAAAATCCCAGGACAGCCTGCATGGCCAGGCTGCTGTGCCTAACAGCAAAATGCCCTTTTGCTTAGAGGGCTTTATGGCTTCTGTTTCAGTTGACCTATTGGTGAATCCTCGGAGATGGGTCTTCTTTCAGTTGATTTTTTCAACAGGAGCTATTTTTTGCCCTGCCCTGGGTTATTTGGAGGGGATGATGGGTGGTATGTGCCCAGACCCAGCTGGTCTAGCCGCCTTTTTTGAGTCAGTGACTCTTTGCTCAGCCCCAGTGATGAATATCCTTGACCTGTGTCATGGGGTACTGTAATCCTTGTACTGCATTTGCTGGGAAGAAACTGGAGTTGCTGGCATTTTCTTGTATTCAGATGCTGTATCCCAGCAGCTTCAGTGTGGGGCACTGCTCTCCCTAGGAGATGGTGACCCCTTCAACAGCTGCAGGAAGCACCTAACCCTGCCTGAAACCTGTGGAGGTGCTTTTTTCTGGCAGACCTTGGCCTGTAAGGGAGGTGTCTGTTTCTCTCCTGACACCTCTCTCATGCTAAGCCCTTCTTCTCTCCTCTCTGCCTTTTCTTTTGTGCCTCCCAGGAGCGGGAGTCCCTCAATGCCAGCATCGTGGATGCCATCAACCAGGCTTCAGACTGCTGGGGCATCCGGTGTCTGCGCTACGAGATCAAGGACATCCATGTGCCCCCACGTGTGAAGGAATCCATGCAGATGCAGGTGAGGCTCTCTGGGAGGGAGGTCTGGAACAAGAGGGAAGCTTCCTCTTCCATACGGCATTACAGAATCACAGAATCAATAAGATTGGAAAAGACTTCATCAAGCCCAGCCTATGAACAAACACTACCTTGTCTACCAGACCACGGCACCAAGTGCCATGTCCAATCTTTGTTTAAAGATCTCCACAAACAGTGTCACTGACACCTGTCTAGTAGCCCATTCCAATGTCTAATCACCCTTTCTGTGAAGAAATTCTTCCTAATGTCTAACCTAAACCTCCCCTGGTGTTGCTCGAGACCGTGTCCTCTCATCCTGTTGCTGACTACCTGGGAGAAGGGGCCAACCCCTGTGTGACTGC